TTTCATCTTACTTCTCAGGGAGTTCTGGGCACATCAATAATCTAATGTTTTTTAACTGCAAAGAAGCACATTTGATGTTGGACTTGCAAAATTCAGAACGATGTCAATTTTTAAACAGACAAAACAGGCCTTTTTGTTTTTTAAAATTTCTTGTTTTTCTTGAAACTTGAGTTTACGTGCAGAAAAGCAATCTTTACTTTCGTGCAATTTGTCACAAAAAATACAAATATTTTTTCTTTTATTCTCTGTGGTTCCCCTCAAACAAATCTGCTGCCATCAGTGGATTACTAGGAACAGAACGCTGTATTTTTTCTTTTTGAAATTTGTGTTCTTTACTAACAAATCCCTTTGCTAAACGAATACGTTCTTCCCCTTCAACTTCATTTTTCAGGAACAATAATAAATTTCTTAATTTCTCCCCATAAGCATTTTCTTCAGAAGAATCGAATTTGGTGTTAACTATAGGGTTTCTTAGCTGCCATCAGTAGATTACTAGGAACAGAACGCTGTATTTTTTCTTTTTGAAATTTGTGTTCTTTACTAACAAATCCCTTGGCTAAACGAATACGTTCTTCCCCTTCAACTTCAGTTTTCAGGAACAATAATAAATTTCTCCCCATAAGCATTTTCTTCAGAAGAATCGAATTTGGTGTTAACTATAGGGTTTCTTAGCCAAACTCTAAAAGTGTCTTCCAGAATACACAATTCTACAAGAGGGAAAAGTATAGCTGAATATGCATCAGATGTTAAGCCTATGGACTCCAACGCTCTTAGATGTGATTCTAATTTATCATATAATTTTGACGTGTCTAATTTTCTTTTTTCTTCGGTAACATTTTTTACAACAAGATTTAAAAGTTCACGTATATAAAATTCAATCAGTAATTCCTTCCTGCCGAATCTTGATTTTAAACATGTAATAGCTTTATCATAATTTTCACATGTCGGTGGGTAACTATCGACAATATCACGAGCTCTAGAGCCTTCAGTCATACATTGAATTAAATATTGAAATTTATCTTCTTTTGTAATATTTTCATCGTCATGTAATCTTTTGAATTGGCTCCAAAAGGCAAGCCAATCTTTGATTTCCATGTCAAATTTCAAAAGTTTGATCTCTGGTAACTTTAACTTTCGTTTTTGAACGGGCGAAGAATCAACAGAACTTTCGGTTTTAGAAATTTTATTTAAATACATTTCTACGTTTACTTTCGCCTTTACGAAATTTTCGTTGTATTCTTCTATTATCGCGTATTCGTTCGTTCTGATACTTTTTATCGTCTTTATCTTCTAATAATAAAAAGCTTATTTCCTGATCTATTTCAGTTAGCTGACAATAAATTCTACGTAAATTAGCAAAGTTAGATCTAATGCTCTCTTCTTTAACATTATCTGCCTTTAATAAGTCATTCAAATCATTAAAACACTTTGTGAAGTTAGCTCTTATAGGAGAGCGTTTATTAACAAATAATTCCATTTTCAGAATAATAGGTAATTCAAAATAACGTACCTTTAATATCACGTCCAGGTCACCATGTTACGAGACTACTTGAATTTTGTTCATTCAGTCGGTACTCCATTAAAAGAAACGTAAAAAGAAATTTATAATTAAGTAATACGAACAATTCACCCAATTAATTCACTATAAAATAGGCAAGCCATCTTAATGCAAAATCATGGTGCATTTTTTTAAATTCTAAAACATAAAAAAAGATACAATGTTGTGGAACCATAAAATTTAACCTTTAAAGAAATTGCATTTATACAACCATTGAGTTGCTCACGACAAAAAGCTTCACATTTCTTTTGGAAGGATTTGAAAAATCTGGCATGCAAGTTTTTCTGTTCTCCTATTTACTTGATACGTCAGGCATAATTTTGCACAGAATTGGGATAAAAGTTATTTGAATTTTTCTATTTTGTAACGTAGTTTAATTATAAAACGGCAAAAAAGAAAACCTGAGTATTTCTGCATGTTTTTGAAACCCAGAATAAATGCAACTTCAGACCATCCAAAAGAGACATATCTGTTAAAAACATCTATGGTAACCTTAGTTTAAATTAATTATGCAAAATATTTTCACATTTTTTGTATGATACATGAACATGATCTGTATTTTTCTTCATTTTTTTTCTTCCTCTTGAATTTCTTATTTTATATTCCTTAATATTACAAATTTGTTTAGTGAAGATAGGTTATCAGTATGTAACTGATATCGTAATGACATATTTTTAGTAAGAAGTACATGTTTTTCCTGTCTTTGGGAAAAAGGAAGGAGATAATTATGTATTTTTATGATTTATATTAATAACGATATGCAGTAAATATAGAAATAATTTTTAAATTATATTTTTTGTTACTTTTATATATATCTGTTTGGAATTAATCTCTTGTATGGTGCTTATTATAATTAAATATTTTAATTAATGGATGTAGTGTTTCAATTCTCATTAATTTTTGTGTTGATTATTGTATTTCTACATAAAATCACGTTTTTAACAAAAAGGGCTATCTTTATACAAATTTTCTTGATGTTGATTTCAATTATGACCTAAAAGTTTATATTGAATATTTTGTTTTGATTTTGCACTTCTTTTAAAACTTCAATTATGTTTTCATTTAAATAATCTGACATCATTCAGTTTTGGCTTTTTTATTACATAGCTCAAATCAATTGTATGTATACTATTGCTTTTTAACCTTTGTGGTCATATGTCTGCTCTCAACCACCACAGCAAAGAACCATACTGATCTTAACTTATGTTAAGTCAACAAGTTATGGAGATGCATAGAATTCAAAATAATATTTTACAAATTGTAGTTAAGTGTAATTAGGCCACCACAGCAAAGAACTATACTGATCTTACATATTAAGTCTTCAAGTTACAGAGATACATAGAATTCAAAATAATATTTTACAAATTGTATTTAAGTGTAATTAGACATTTTTGCTTTAAAAATATTTTTTAAATAATACTCTAAAATCACAAAAGGAAGTTACTAAAAGAAGTGTACTGTGAAATTGAAAATGGCGATGATGAATTTTGATTCTTTGAGCACTGATGTAGTAAGTGATAGTGGTTATTTTGAAAATATTTATACTAATGATTCTGATAGTGACATAGTTCCAGTGAAGCTATGAATGATACAATTTGAAATTTCCAGCCCTAGTGAAGTAGAAGAAAATAAGAATACTTGTATAAATGATTTTACCATTTACTCATAAGCTTGCATATTATGTATTACTGTTCGTTCAACAAAAATTAATTCTTACCAGCATAATACCTATGTATAGAATTAATACAACTGCAAAGGGTTAATTTATGCATATGCACAAAATTTTGATTAATAACTTTCTGGATTTATCTATTTTTGGTATTGAGTGTGAGCAACAAGGTAAAATCCATTTTGTATTGTTTTTTTTTGGGGGGGGGGGGGTAACATGTGTATTATTTTGTCTTTTTATTTCTTATAATATTATTTGCCATTCAGTTTAAATAATAATATTGAAAGTCATAAATTTAATATTGTGAATTCATATTTTTATAAATGTTCAGTTTATGAATTACCATGTAGATCCTAAAAATTGTATGGCTTATCATTTCAGTTCAATTTTTTTAAAATTTTTTATAAACTTTTTTTTAACTATCCATTTGATTTTGCAAAATTGAAATCCACTGTATTTTGATTCAAGAGTGTGCACACTTGTTAGAAATGTATTCATAAATGATACATATATATGCAAATGTAAAAGATAACTTGTCCTTCATCATGACTTAGACTGAAACTTGGTTTACTTTCTCTAACTTGCTGCCAAGAATAAAATGCAAATATTCTATAGTATTGTCTCATCTGCATTTTATTTTCTATTCAAAGAAAACTAAGTAGACTCTTTCCATTCAGAAGACAATGACAACTGTGTTTTAGAACAGTATGGTTTCTACTCTTTATTGAGTTTATAACTTCATGGTCAATTATTTGTACTAATGTATGTATTTAAGCCCTCACAGGCTGTTAAAAATTGCAGGAAAGGCATCTTATGCAATGTGGCTATCTGTCAAAGCAGCAACTGATTGTTCATTCACGCAGCTATTAAAAAAAAAAAAAAAAAAAAAAAAAAGAATTTTGCGATTGGGAACATCTAGCCTGCAGTCTGAGCTTCCTAACAACCAGTTATATTTTCACAACTGTAAAGGCGCTTGGGGTGGAAAGCAGTATTTTGGCAATGAAAAGCTTCATTACAGTAGTTACTGCATTTCTGAATAGTTTATAATGAAAGTTTTCAAAAATTTGTTTCTTCTGATATGTTAAGGGCTTCAGTCTTATGAATGCCTGTATGAAATAATAGGACTTTCATATCTATGTAAAGTAATACTCTAACATAAATACTTTCAAAATAAATAAATAAATAAAGCTTTAATCAATTATCTGTTACTTACAAGTGTAATAGCTTCGTTATAATACTTTCTCTTATACTATGGTAGTTGAGAAAGCAGAACCCATATCAGAATGTTTAGCATTAAAAGTTTGTTTAAATATACATAAAATGCAAGTTCAAAAATCATCTGAGTTAAAAGAATGAACAGATACAGTTGTCTCCAGAAAAAAATCTGAAATAAGCTTTTGCTGCAGAGCAAACACAGCTTGAAACAGTACTATTCTCTTTAAAAGATAGGCTCTGTCTTTTCCTCTCAGAAGAGGCTGAAAGTTCTGTACTTACTATATTATCACTTTTCCTAAGTATAAAAAATCAGGCAGGAATAAGAGATAAACAGTAAATAAGTTGTTGGATACTGATTTTCAAAACTCAACTAAAAATCAATATTTCTAATGCATAAAACTCAATGTACAAAGTAGTGACAGAACTCTCTTTTTATTCTTTGTAACTTTAATAATTACAACACTTATGTTTTAAAGCATTTAACTATGAATATGAAGACAATTCTTTCATTGAATTCAAAACATAAGAAGATACATGGAAGTACATATGCAATTAGAAATGGCTTTGATAATGGATCTTGAATGTAAGAAGATCAATTTACAATTGCCTTAGTAAATTGATGTTGATGAATGTGCGGTTTATTGAGGGTTAATAAATATTGCCATGAGTATTAGAATGATAGGTATGTGACCTATCAAATGCATGGAAAGAAAACAAATCTTTAAAAATATGTACATGAGCTTTATTATCTCTGCCTCATAAAGAGTAATGATTCTTGTTTTGTTACCAAACAGACACTATTTTCTGGATGTGCTATGTACAAAATAGACATGAGGTTAGCGATAGGAGTTTGTTTGATTTGAAAAAGTGATTTTTACAAAGAGATTTGTTACATACTTCTTTTGCTAATAGTTATATTTCCATTATTTTATAAAAATATTGTGCAAAAATAGTCTAAGAATTTTCTTAAACATTTAAACTATTGTTTATTTCTTATTTGCTGCAAGATTTACCATGGTTTGTTTTATGCCATGTATGTGTTAGCTGAATTTTATGGCATATTAATATATTTAACAAAATATTTTTAGATTCTTCACGACATGGACAGCAACAGATATCTGAAGGAACAAACATGTATGCTAAAGTTAACATCATGCTCTCAGAAGAAAGGATTAAAAGTTTTTCATCATTAAATCGATTTATTTGTAATATTTGTGGAAAAGGTTTCAACAATAACTACCATTTAGAACGTCACTTTCGAGTACATACAGGCGAAAAGCCCTTCAAGTGTAAAATTTGCTCTCAAAGCTTCAAGCATAACCAGTCTTTGAAATACCATACATTTACTTTCCATAGAAAATATATTTAATTTGAGGGGGGGGAGATGATTAGATATCTTGTTCACTTGATTTAGATGTTAATCATGAGTAAAAAGTGGATTGAAATTTGTATTTAGTATATTAATGTAGTCTTGGGGAAAGCATATTTTGGAGGATAATTTTTTTTAAATAAACATAAAGATTTTTTAAATTCTCTTGTTTCAACATTAAGGGTTCCCACTCCATCGAATATCGGGGAAGCTATAATTTTTCAAAGGAGTAGGCCAAAATTGGAACTTTTTCTCAAAAAGTCGGAGATGTTAATAAAGAAGAAAAGATAATTCCAGTAGGATAATAGAAAATTCAAGTTTTAAGTACTAACCAGTAACAAAAATTATCCCCCCCCCATAAAACAAAGCAAATGAATAATTTTCTTCCAGTAAATGTTTTACTTATTTCCATATCAGATACCATTTCATTAGTCTCTACCATTGGTATCCAACTGTTAATGAGCTTTCCTTAACTTCTCTTTTTGAAATCATCACTAGTCTTTAGAAGTGCCCTTGCCATCTAGAAATATAATAATTTAAAAGTAATCATACTCTGTAGTTTTATGTTTTTAATAAGTAAATGTAACTCCTTCCCCCCCAATCCAGTGTTATTCTTAACTCTCTGTATTGATTTGAAGAAACAATTTTTTCCCAGATTTAATTTCTGTTTTAAAACACTACCAACTTTTTTTGGATGATTATATTTCTTGTACGTAGTTCTTTTATTTAATGTGCAGTAACTCTTATGTAATTTGATAACCAGTTTTCATTATTGGTCAGGGAAACTGATTTGCTGATGGAAAGTAAAAAAAAAATGAAAAGTTGAATTCCACTGGGAATCCTGTATTATTAATTCAATGTGATCTGCTTATTGTGAATGTAGTAATATTTGCGTACTTTTAAGAAGTTGAAAAATAGGTATCATTGCATAATTTGGAAATTACTTTTTGTGTACATTTTCTTTAAGCTGATGTAAATTTTTATAAAATCCATAAAATAAAATGAGGTTTAAAATTATTCTTTACAGATTTATTTGCATGCTAACTACTTATTCGGAAATGTTTTAAAATGTTATGCAGTGCTAAGGAAATTGCCTTTTTATTTAATTATTTAGCTAATTTATGAAATTAATATCAGATCTTAAAAATAATGCAATTTGCAGATCAGAAGTACTGCAAATTGCATTATTTTTAAGGAGTAATTAATTTTCTTATTTCAAAGTAGATAGTCATATTTGGACTTGTTACTAAAATTTGTTATAATGTTTAAGTAAAATACTGCTATATTTTTACTATCGTTAAAATATTTCCCTACACTGTATGTTTTTTTGTTTTTTTTAAATATAATTCTGTACTCTTACTAAAATACTTTCCTGCACTGCAGTTTTTTTAATGATATTCAATAAAATTTATTTTTATTTTGTCAACTGAACACCTCCTTATTTCGGGGAGGCTTCATTAAGTTAAGTCACAATTTAAGCTGAAAGAAATTGATTGCTAGCTTTAACATTGAAGTGGTAGTTAGCTATGTACAAAAAAGGAACTTCTTGGATTGGTGTCTCAATCTTTATAAAACTGCATATATTGCACAAATTATGTTGCATTCAGTTCCTTTATCATATCATGTATAATATATATATATTTTTATTGCATTACTTTGGAAATCATGAGTTACATACAGTAAGCATTGATATCAGGTTGAAGTTATAATCATTAAAAATGCTACCAATTTGTCTATTTGCTGTTTAATTAAAATGTAAACTTGGTGATTTGTAATTGAATAAATGCATTTGTTGAAACTAAATGAAAATGTTCATTTTGGATGTGCTCAATTCAGTGCATGATTGAACAGTATTATCATGGTACCATAGTTATTTAAAATGTATTTTCTTAAGGTTGTTTATTGAATAAAGTTTAACTTTTCCCTTAAAGTAATTTGAATGTTGTTTAGAATATAAGTTTAAGGATTCTTATGCACTTATTCTCCTCTAGAGGTATAGTGCTTAGTGTATGTATTATTTGGGCTTCATTATAATTTTTATTATAATTTTTTTTTTTTTTTTTTTTTTTTTTTACATGGAACAATGAATAATCTGAAAAAATGAAATTAACTGATTGTTTACTACTTATTTCTGTAAAAAATTAGAATTTTACTTTTAATAAAAGTGTGATTCATTTTCAGTGTGTATATCACTTAAATAATTTAACTGCGTATCTAAATACAAACGTCTCTGTCTATAAGACTTTTACTTTTTTTATTGAAAAGTATTACCAAAAGCATAATATTACCTTATCAGTTATAAAGTAAATCTGCAAATTCTTCGTACTTTGCATTCATGCTAGTATTGTTTCTTCTGCTTTTTTTAATGTTTTCAGTTATGATGATTAAATGTTTTCAGCCATTAATATTTCTATTATTTTCTGTTTTTGTTTTTAGTTCCTTTTGAACATGGGCAACTTCAGTCCTCTGGAAGTTTTTATAAATGTGCTAAAGATAGCTTATCATCAAGTATAGAAATGAATAAAAAATCATCATTGCAACAGTCAGTTTGTAACTTTTGTGGCAAAATATTTAAGCATAAGCATAACCTACTCAGTCATCTTCGTGTCCACACTGGGGAAAAACCTTTTAAATGTGAAATTTGTCTGCAGAGTTTTAAGCATAATCAGTCTTTGAAATATCATATGTATACTAATCACATAAAATGATTAAAATGTGGTTTTTCTTTTGTAGGCTGTATATTTTTCTTTTGTGTGTTATAAATTTAGAAAGTATAAAGCTTAGTTTTTCTGTTAATATTTGAAAGAAGTTTGAAATTCAATCATTTGCACAGTACAGTTCTGTGAAATTTAAAATTATATTGTCATGTAACTTCAGTGGTTTATATAGTCAGTTACTTTATTGTAATTTTTTTTTTTTTATGTTCATTTATGTAGTAATCTAGAATTTATTTTTCATTTTAAATTTTTAAATCTGAACAAAAGTAGTTGCCTGGATAACGTCAAAAAAGTGCAACATTGTATGTGTGTTTGAGAAGTAAAAAGAAATAGAATGATATTGGAGTGTTTTTTTTTATCTAGTTCTTCATTTAGGAGCTATGCAGAATTAAAACCCCATGATGTCACTTTTTATTGTCTAAGTAAAGGGAAACTCAAGACTTATTGTGGTTAATATTGTGTTTGTAATTAATCCATTGTTCTCATGAAGTCTTTGTGTACTACAAAAGAATTTGGGCATTCACTGATGCCAGAGACTCCATAATCGAATAATGTAACTCCATAATCTAATAATGTATTATGTGTATCATAATATTGCTAAAATTGATGTCAATGGTGTGCACTTCATGTGGGATATGTCATTATGCAGTTCCATGACTGCATTGCTTTTCTTTCATTCATCTGACTGGAAGAGAAATCATGGATCTCTGAAGTCGTATAATTCTTGAATGAAGGGATGCACTGAAACTATTCCAGTGGCATATCTTCTTGAATGTTTAGTGTATTAGTATGAACTACATACCACAGTTAGCTTATTAATCTAGCATAAAAAATAGATGTTTTTTAGTTTTGAATGTATTTCATCATTCAATAATGCATGTTTTTCATCATTATGTTCTAGAAGTTTTAATCATAAAACTAACTGTATTCACATATCTATGTCTCATTCATAAAATTCCTAATTGTGTTTGAACTAATAAAAAATATTTTTAGCACTATTAGTATACCAGCCATGTGAAATAGAAGCAATTTCTTATTTAGTTTGCTTGAGTGTATTCTGTGTTCTAAAATGTTATTAAATACTGCATTTGAAATTGATATATTTTCATGCCATCTTTTTCTACTGCTGTTAAGATTTTTTAAATACATAATAAAAAATTATAGATATTGTTTAAATTCCACTGCATACTAACTGTTTTCAAATTTTGTGTTTGACTTTTTTCTTTTGAAAGTTGTGTATTTTTAATCTTTATGTGTACTCTCGTGTTTTCTTAAACTTCCCTTTTCATTTTAGCTTCTTTTGTATATGGACAACAGTCTTCTGACAAATATTGTGCCCTTAGTGTTTGTACTAGAGGTAATTTGGCATCAAGCATAAAAATGAGTAGAAAGCATTTCTCGGTGAAACAACTTATTTGTTTTTACTGTGCTAAAGAATTCACTCATAAGAACAATTTAAGAAGTCATCTTCGTGTGCATACTGGTGAAAAACCATTTAAGTGTGAATTCTGCCAACAATGCTTCAAGCATAATCAATCTCTCAAATACCATATATTTACAAATCACAAGAAATGGTTGTAAATAAAAAAAATTAGCTAAAAATATATGAATTGAATATTTTGCTGAAAGCAGAATTTTTTGCTCCTGTAATTAAATTTCATATCGTAAAACAATTTAAAAATTTTAATGTTGAAATTAAATGTAATTACCAATGCTGAGTTTTAGTAACATTGTAAAGTACGTAATTCGTGTATTTGTAATTGAATATTAGTGTTAAATAAAGGAGTAACATAAACATATGTGCATGAATATATTGAATCATTTTTGGTAGAAATATTTTTTTCAGAATTAGAGTTTCTTAGTTCCTTGTAGAGCATAAAGTATTATAAATTTTCCCTTTTCATTTAAAAGTATTTTCTGTAGAATTATAATAAATTACCCAGTTTTTCATATTTTTACACTAACTGGTTGTGGAGAAATTTATTTTGAATTTGATATGTGTATCATAATATTGCTTTATTAATGTATGTATATAAATAAAATGTTATTGGGATAAAAATGTCTCTAGTAATTGAGTGATTTACCCTTGAATTAGAGTTTGTGTTAAATAATTTATTTTCATAGTAAAATTAGCAATAGAAAGTTCTTCACAATATTAAAAGCTAGCATACAAAAGAACACCATAAAATATCAATTCTACCTGAGAAAATACAAAAATTCATATTGTATTTACAGCCATTAAAAATATATCAGATTTTATATTTACATTATTTCTCATATTATTCAAATCTGAAAGGGCTTTAATTTTTTTCCCCCTGTAATAACAAGCATTCCTTGCTTAACTATGTGTTAAAGCCAGAATGTTTTTAAAATGGAAAATTCTCAAATTGCAAATCCACTCCTTTATTTAGCTTACAATCTATTTTGATGACGAAAACTAATAAAAAAATATGGGTATCAGCTTCATGTTGAAATTAAATAACACACATTATATACTCAAATAGAAAGTTAAAAAAAGTTATCTTCATTTTACAAAAATGTGATGAATTTGTGGAAAAAGTGGATTGTGCATCAGGTAAATGAATTCTGATATTAAATTAAAGCGATGAAGAACCGATTGGTTCAAAAGCTATGTGATGCAAAAGAATATATTAGTAAAAATTATCTATATACAAGACTTGCCAAACTAGAGATAAATATTATTTTATATGCTTAGAACAATGGAAACTTTTCATTGGGAAAAAATAATGTTCCTTTTTTTAGATTTTTCATACATCTCTCAGAAACTAAGTAAGTTTCAATAATTTTTTTACATTTAAACGATAATGCATATTTATGAAACCTGAATTTTCCAAGAGGAAAACATTAAAGGTTTAAGAATATTACTGACATATTCACTTAAAGGTCAGTCAAATATTCTTTATTTTTTCTTTATTTGTTGCAAAACTGTATCATTTGTGATATTGGAGAATTGAAATCCGTGTAAAAGCAGTAATTGAGTGTTATAAAAGCTATTAGTTTTAAACATAGTATTTCCTTGATGCTATTTATCTTTCTGTTCATTGTTTTACCTCATACTGGTATTTTTTATTTCATGTATTTTCACATTGTTATTACTGTTGAAATATTTATGTTTGAAGCATTTTATGTATCAGTAACTGTTTCAGTTAAATAGAGCATTATGCTTTAAAGCACGTTTTTATATAAAAAGAATTTTAGTGCTTTATTTTGTTGCATAATTTCAAGAAAAGACTAAACTGTGCTGCTTGTTGTTCCTTCTCCAGAAAAATTAAACATCTTAATTTCCCTCTCATATATATATACATACATGTAATGAAGCAGACTTAAAAATGATGCCAGATTTTGAAGTATGCATAGTAGATCCAGAATGAAGAAAAAATTTTGAAGTCATGTAAATACAATGCAATAAGATACAGTTATAGCAGATTTAAATCCTATTTCTTTTGTTGTAATTAAACATGTGAAAACAGAAGTAGAAGCAAAGTGCACAATTATTCCAATATGACAGCTTATTAAAAGAAAGTTTATAGTTCTTGAAATTTTGAGTTGTTAATTTCCAAATTAGCTGTGCTGTTCGCATTTTGTAAATCGTGATATGGATTAGTCTCGAAATGTCGCAGGGCAGAAAAACAGAAATGTTTTTGAAATAGAGAAGGGGCATACTCAAATTAGAATTAAGCATTAAAGGGGCTATTGCTGATTGAAATTGTAATTTATATTTACATATTTTTTATCTTGCATATATATATTCGAAATTCATTAAAAAATAATTTCCCCTGATGAGCCATAATGATATTCGAATTAGGCTAATCTACCATTTACCGCTTCTTAGTTTTTATATTTTTGCTCAAATCATTTGTTAGTACTTTTACAAATGGTTTAAATATACCTTAATTTGATTAGCATATTGCTTACTATTAGTATTGATTTTTACTTGTAAATATTCAAATGTTGTATATTTTTCTCTTGTAACAGAATTCAATGCAATTTATCTTGCTTATGTTAATGTTTTCACGGAACCACAGTATTTAAGCCGCTTTTTAGAGTACGAACTAGGATTTTTCTTTTAACCTTTTTCTAAATTTTGCAGTGCAATGTGCAAAGTTTTTGACCACATAGGTCTTTCATCGTTTATTCTTTTTACTTTACTTTAATTTGTTTATATATACATATGTATATTTGCATATCTTGCATATGCATGTATTTTTCTTGTATATATATATATGTGCATGTTTGTATGTATGTGTTTAGATCTGTGAACTTTTAAAAGACATAATAAGTAAATATTATCCTGTTATTTTAATTCCAGAATTTTTAATGTAACTTCATTTTTTATACTTTGAATTACAATGTTAATTTCTAACTTTTGTGATATGAACTTCTTCTTTAAGAGATTATTTTTCATATTAATTTGTTATAATTATTTTATTTTACAAAGCAGAAATATACTATTTTCGTGATGCCTTATAGATTTTTTTTAGGTTTCTAATACTTCTGAAATGGTTATAATTTTATAGGGGGAGAGAACTTGCATGTAGTAAAAAAATGGATGTGTAATATTGGGGCAATATAAAGGAAATGAAAAATATTCAGCTGTAGCTTATTGATTTTTTTTTTAAGTTCACAGTAGTTCTTGGTTTGTAAAACATATTACTTAAATTACATTTTGTAATTTTCTTTCAAAATTTGTGCGAACTTTTTTTTTAAATAATATTTTCTGTTTATTACTATGTTAATTATTTTTAATGTTTATAACATTTTTGCTGAAAACTTTTTGTTTTGTTTCTAGATTTTTTCTCAGAAGTGGATAGTTTTAGGGGAAGAAGTGTACATGGTGCATATTCAGATGTTAGTTCTTATAGAAGTGTGCACAAGAGAAATATTGTCCATAAAGTATGTCGGTTTGTTTGCAATTTTTGTACGAAAGGATTTCAGAGTAAGGCTGACTTAGAGCGTCATACGCGCATACACACTGGCGAAAAACCATTCGAATGTCAATTTTGTTTCCGCTGCTTTACACGAAAAGACAATTTGAGATGTCACATGTTGACCTGTCAGAAATCACGACTTGTTATTAATTGATATTTTAACAGATTTGCATTTCATGCATGAAGTATTTTCCTGTTAATTGGTTTTCCCATAGAAATGCAAGTGCATTCTTAGTTTTAGTTGGTTTATTATTATGCTTATATCCTACAGTTATATTTAGAAATACTTTTTAAGCCTTGCAATAATATTTTTATTAGTTACTGTAATATACTGTTTAAGGGAAAATGAAAAATTTTTATGCATATTACTGTTTTATTATGTATTACAGTGTTATTTATAAGAATGTTAAAACCAACAGGAAGAAATGCGTAATTTCTGATGCAGGTAATGTTTGTATAATACAGGGTGATTCTCTTAGAACTGACCTATTTCACTGGGTTGTAATTTTGTTAAAAGGTGTTGGATTTTAATGTGGGTTGTGATGAAAAATTCAGGAAGGATAAAAATTTAGTAGTCCATCCTGTTTCTTGATATGCAACGCTGAAAAAAAAAAAAAAAAAAAAAAAAAAAGAAAGAAAGAAATAACAGAAAACACGGCATTTCACGAAATTCCACACAAGAGGGACTGCATTCTGTTGAAATTGGAACAGTCTGACAATTCGGGTCTGTCGCGATAAGCCAAGGACACTGGACGAATTAAAAGCCAATATTTTTAGGGAAATTGCAAACATCATTTCTGATACATTGCAGAATGTTGCAGCTACCATGGAGCGTCGAGTTCGATTATGCCTATGCCAGGAGGGTGATCATTTTCAACATCTGCTGCTGTAGGGTAAGTAAATATAATTCATTATAACCATTGCAAACCTTTACTAGTCATTTTTGGTATGCCACTAGGCAATCTGAGTTTTTAACAATGTTTTATAGACACAAGCCATCCCTCCTTATATAGCATTTCACAATTTTTGTTATTTCTTTTTTTTTCTCTGATCAAAAAATGGAACAGACTACTAAATTTTTTTCTTTCCTGAATCGTTTGCTGCAAACCTCATTAAAATTGGATACATTTTAACAAAACTACAGCCTAACAAAATAGGCCAGTTCTAAAAGAATCACCCTGTATTATCAAATACCATGGGCAGTTCAAATGTTTATTAGTACTTTGAGTGCCTTAATGAAAACAAAATTTTTTACTTAATGGCTTCTTAGTCTATAAATCGATTAAGTTTGCTTAATATTTTAAATATCTTCAATATTACTATCTTAATCTAAACTTTGCTTGGATCGATTGTCAAAAGCATTTAAATGTATACAACTGCTTTTTTTTTTACTTTGCCATAAATTTACTACATTATGTATTTATAAATCTGTATTCAGCATGATAATTGTGTAGACTGCATCTGATTCTATGAATATATTGTTTTTGAAGTTTTATTATTATTATTATTACTCAGTTATTTTTTTAATGAAAACAAAGAGAAAACCTTATATGCATGTTACTTTCGAAACAAAATACTCTAAACTTTAGTCATGACCTGGTTGTATGAACTGGTTTTTATTTATTTGTCTTTTTGCAGCACAATAATAAATTGTTATGTATTTTAATCCTGCAGAAGTTTTAGACATTCTACAATAAAAAGAATGGTTTTCCAATTCATTACACATAAGAATTTCTCTTAGCTTTTTCTGGTTGTGGGTTGGTTGTGCAGGATGATCATAAAAAATACCTTGCTGTTATATGAACCTATAGCAGCCTATCCACTCAACCAATCATGATGAAATTTCAGATATTGTTATTTGGAAGTACACACTCAAGATTGTGATGATTAGACCTGTCATGGTTATGATGACAGTGAAGAAATTTCTAAAACTTTTAATGCCAACACCCACTTTTTTCCCATGCAAATTGATCAGTGCATTGAAAAACCACAAATGGCATAGGAATGATGTACATATGACGAAACTTGCTGGTTTAGAACATTGCAAAGAAGAGCATTTTAAGGGACCAATGGCAGCACAGAGAGGAGGTTAATTGATGAAATTTGCATTCTTCTTTCAAGAGATCACTTCCACAGGTGTGAAGACATGCTCCATCACAAGTTCTGGGTATATAACATTGCTGCATAATTACATATTTTCCAAAATGGCAGCAGTAAAATGTCTTTAATGACATTGTGTGGTTACAAGATAATGCTTCTGTACACATCGCCATTAGTATTTGGTAGGTGATGCAGCAGCACATTGGAGATCTCCTATAACTGCAGTTGCTACTGCAGTTCCATGACTTCACTCTGATGGGTTTATGGTTTTGGAGTTATCTGAAATGTAAGGTGTACGCATCAAATCCATAAGATTTGTCAGAATTTAACGATGTCATCAAATATGAAATTGTACAGATTCCTCCAGCAGCGTTACATTCATCATTGTTGTCAACAATCTCCCACATGTGATGCATTTATCATCTGCAAATAAGATCGGAACTCTAAAAAGCTGTAATTCTAATAAAAGTTTTTCCTTTCCTCTCTGTTGTTTATTGGTCCTTTACAATCATCTTCTTTGCAAGTGTTCAGTGCTGCCAATTTCCGTCATATATGTCTTGATCTGATGCCATTTAGGTTTTTTTTTTTTTTTTTTTTTTTTTTTTGTATTGCACTGATTAATTTGTGTAGGAAAATAGTACTTCAAAATTTTTATCTTTGTGTGGTCTGCTGCATGGCTATCTTGCATATTGGAAGGAAAGGAATAAAGGTACAAAGTAAAAGGGTCATTTGGGAATTATAATAAAAAAATACCAGTTTTTTTTTTCATGGTATTTTGGGGAACTAAGTTCTTCTAGCCAAATCCCTAACTCTTGGGAGAGGATCAAACCGTATAAGTGTAAAAAAAATTGAGTTATAAGGCAATCAGTAAAATAAAAAAATTGATCTATTGTAACATGAGCATTAAATTTTCTGATCTAGTATTTGAACCATGTGTAATTCTAAATGTTAGTTCTTATGTAAATTCTGCAAGAAGAATTATAAGCTCAATGAACTTAATTTTATGGCATGATATACTGCATTGAATCATGATACTTCATAATAAGGATTGTGCAGTGCTTATAAATCAGTAATTGGCAGCTAATTAATTAAATGCTGATTTATAATTTGATTAATAAAATTTTATGATGCTGTATTTTTAGGTGGTGTTTCATTAAAATGCCACTTACTTTATCACATCATTTATTTTCCTTCATTTTCAAAGTTTTAGCAAAGCATTTATTAACAAAAATAATATTTTAAAAGTAAAATAGTTCCCCCCCCCTTCTTCTTCTTCTTCTTCTTTTTTTTTTTTTTTTTTTTTTTTTTTTACCTTTATAATTAATGCTATTAAGATAAAAATGTACATACTTTTCTTAGGTATTTTTATGAAACTTTTCCGTTGTTAGGTACGTTTGATATAATTATAATAATTAACTCTTGTGTTTAAAAGACATTTATATATTTACGTATGCTATAATTATTAAAAGTGATGTTTTCAAGTAACTAAAAAACTAAGTTAATTTGTGTTATTGCCTTTTTTAATATTTATGTACATGTTTTGTGACAAAGTGTGTATGCAGTCATAAAAATGATTTTGTGATATTGTTCATGTGTTGCTTTTAAGCAACTGAGATTGTTTGCAGTGGTGTATATAGGTATATTAACATTTGCCTTTCAAATAGTGTTACAATGTGTAATTTTCAAAAATATAATTTATCGGAAGTTTATAAGATCTCAAGTATTAAAGTCCTGTAGATTACCAGGCATTACTTTAAAATTGAATAAGATTATCATAATAGTTTTAATTTCTAACCTTTATTAGTGGAAAATACAAATTGTAAAAATATTTTAATTTTGAGCTGTAACTATTAATTTGTTCATTATGGTTGTTCAAAGCTATTCTGCTTTTGATTATATTATCATATTTAGAATGCATTGTATTTATTATTGTATGTATTTTATCACCAGATATGCCATTTTTGCTTTGAAATTTTATTTGAAGTGTCTGTATATTAAATAAAAATTGGTATTTTTATAAAATTTATCTTCTTTGATCATTTTTAATTCAAATTCTTAACTTCTCTTTAAAATAAGTCTTGAAAACTTTATGCTATATTCACATTTGTGCATTGCCATTTTTATGAGTCTATCGATAAAACTTTCTCAAATTATTTATATGCAATCTATTCTTGGTTGGCACTTTACAATTAAAAGATTTAAAGTTAGAGATGAGAAATACAGTTACACTGCATCTGAAATATATATTTGGGAAGGGGGGATTTTTCTTTCTCTCTCTCTCTTTCTTTCTTTCTTTCTTTTTTTTTTTTTTTTTTTTTTTTAAGAAAGATCGTTAAGAGGGGAAACTTCTGCCGAACAAGATATTGGCAGTTCAATTTTATTGCAAGCAATGAGAAATAAAATACTTAATGTATTCTTTAGTACCGGAAAGTTGTGATTTTTTTATTAAAGTTTCAAGAACTCTTTGTGAATGTCATTGTTACTGCAATAAACTGTAGGTTGGGGGGGGGTCGGGGAGGCTTTTCAGAAAATGCAAGAAAAATATTTTTAACACCTTTACTGCCACTTGCATAACCAATGATTCACAGCAGACCTTTTTTTTTTTTTTTTTTTTTTTTTTTGATCCATACGCATTAAGTATGATTAATGTAACTAGATAGTCTAAGTTTTCAGCCTGTAATTTACAGGATTTGTATTGTTTAGAGCCATGTGAGTTATCAGTGTTTAAGAAGCTCCCAGACTTACATAGTTAAAATGATTTCTATGGCCTCAAAAGTATTCTTGATTTTCAACTTCTGGAAGTTTTTTTTTTCCAGAAATTGTTGCGTTTAATATGAATTTTTTACCATTTATAAGAAAGTAAAA